AAGTCTCGTGTAATTTTCCAATGCTAAAATAAAATAATGGCCAAAAAGGACCACTAAAAGGCAACGTTGATTTGAACTTATACTTTTCGCTTTTCCGTATTGTTTAGTCGAAGGTAAATACAGAGATACACACAACATAGCAAGCGACGTCATGCGGGAAAGAAACTGAGTTGTACTGTAAAGTCTAGCCTGATTTTAACTTACATAAAACACAGTAAAGTTCCTTTTCTAACCCCGCGAACAGAACTCGCAAAACTATTCCGTGTCTCATGCTGAAACTGCTACAAGATCAAGAGGGCTTTCTCGGTAAGAAGTAGATCTTGTGGCGGTATATCGGCAGCGGTAGAACCATGGTAACCCAGAGCGGCAGCAACAGACTATGTGGAAAAAAACCAAAGTAGAATTTGCCAACGTTGGAACGTGAGAGTTGTACGTAACCGCGCCGCTGCTCGCAGCCCTTTATATCCACCGAAAACAAACTGGAGGAGATAAAAAAATTCTATTCCTCAGCAATCCCTTTAAAAGTAATTCGTTGTTTTCTTTGATGGGTACACTATTGGAAGAACTCTGTCAAGGTTGAATTTAAATTCCATTGAAAATTTGAGTGAAACTTGGGCTCCTAGATTCAAAGGATAAGCACCCATAACGACATCTTCTGCCGGTATAATTTTTCTCTCAACAGGATTATGTCGCCAGAAAACTTTTTTGATTATATCTATTTGATACTCTTCATTAAAAAAAAAATTCTAAATGCGCACGACTTATCATAGTACAATGACTGAAGAGCTGTATTCACGCGGCCAGAACTCCAAATTCGTGTTTCTAATTTAACCCTGTTAAATATATCCAAAGATCTTGCGCAATTTACTTAAAAGTTGTGCTTCACTACGACATAGATCAAAATTTAAAGCCACTATATCCATTTTCAGACGTATGCTATAGTCCTAGATAGGTAAATGCAGTCTGATGACCACAAAATATCGCCATATTGTTCTTCCAATAGAACTGTGCCGCTACTGATCGGTCATAATAATTAGATTTCTAGCACACTATGGTAATAATAAATAATAATAATAATAATGATATCACATGCAAGCCATCTCCAAGCGAAAATATAATGCAGGTACATCCCTGCTGCGCGTAACGTTTCGCTGAAATCTCAAGAAACAAGTCCCGTCTATGATATATGCTATCATATCATATTCATAGATTTGATCGGGGAATCACTTATCCACTAGACTTCAGTCTGTTTTCTGTTAGAGTCTGGGAAATAAATTCACTCATAGCGAACCGAAGAGTGTGGCTTAGCTGCCATCTGATACCTGCGGTTCTGTCCGGAGCGGGAAAATGGGTTTTCCGGTTGCACCGGACGACCAGCCGGTCGGGAAAGGGGATTGTAAGATATGCGATAGCTAGAGTGCCGCCGGCACATGTACTTCGAGACCTTGGCGGTAGCGATGACGTCTAGGTAAGCGGCCCGGCAGTGTTGCTTTCTTATGCAAATAAGTACGCAAGCTCTAACCGCAGAGCGCTACCGCGTTGGCCCGCGAACAATACGGAACCCCGTACAGGGGACATGCCACTTATATGCAAGGATATACATACACATATATATAAAGCTACGACACCTAAATTGGGGCTTTTCTTACGCTATGTTTCTAAGACTCTGCCTAAATACAAAAAGATATACCAATGATTTTTTTACACGTGCTAAAAGTGTCTTTACTGGCGTCACGTTTACCCAACACACTTATTACTCTCCACTATTACAACTTAATTCAGAATCTAAACGACTCACAATTCATTCTTAAAATATTGTTTTTTACCCGTCAATACACCTTTGACAAATACTGTATGTCAAGCGATATTAGTTGGTATAAACTTGTTGGTATCATTTAAATACGTTACATACAATAAGTTCCAACATGAATTAAACCTTGGGCTAATTGTAAATCGGAAATCCCAATAAAGCAAAAAGCTCAAGGCGACAAAGCAATTCAATGAATGGAAAAGACATAGGTAAGTTTATAAATAGATAATTAATACTTTTCCCTCGGCAACGGCCACCGTTTTCTGCATCAAAGATTCGGATTTATCACAGATGACTTTCTGGACCCTTTGAATGCAAGACCAACAGAGGATCTCTCAATTTGCGTCATAGAAATTTCCACGGCATTGTATTCCACCAAGGCTAAATTCTTGTTTTCCGTAGTACCAACAATGGCGGATGAACACATTACCGTCATAACAAATGAACCGTCATAACCTGTCCCAATTTCAGTGCCGTATATATATATATATATATACACATACAACATGATGCAAAAATACTTTCACAGCGGAGACAGATGTAAGTCTAGATATGGAATAGCGTATGTTTTTATGTAGAATTGTAAACCTACTTTAGCCTCATCATATACACAAATATATTTATGCGAGACCTGTGTATCTACCTCGAACGGATGCGTGAGATAGGATTTTTATTATGTGTAGATAGACCAAAGATACAGATTCATTCATGTTTTAGCCGATCCCCCTGCGAGGTGGCGAAGATCTAACAGGCGTGCAAAAATGTCTGTATTTTCTATTTAATTATAGAAAAATGTTGAGATATATTTTTTCTTGAGTATGTGTTTTGTTAATTTAGTAATTTTAACGGTTTTGTTTTTATTCCGCATTTTCTGTAATGAATACAAGGTAATAATAATTAGTGATGAGCTAGACACACATAATTAACAAATTTATTTTATTATCATATTTCTATCGGTAATAAACTTTATCGTATGTGATTTCGTGTGCTTGACAATACAAATTCTTTCGTACAACAAAACACAAATCCCACACAAAAATTGGGTAGACCACTTATATAGTGAAAGTATTCCTAATCACCCAGCAGTATATAATCATATCGGTATATGATCTCTTTTCAACTGGAGCACAAATCCACACAGTAAGCTCCTTGTTTCTCCCCCAGACCTGATGTCAAAGCGGCTGTGCTAGAGTTAGTCCAGCCTTACGTAATCAACTACAAACTATTAACTATACAAAACATAACTGGCAATGCATAACACCAAGCACGTCTAATTTATAGGTTTATTTCGCAACGATTTTACTTGTGCCTCGTCAGGCCGCAAGCTGGCCTATTTTTTAAAGCAACCTCTATGCATACTCTGTTACGTGATAGAAGATGAAGCAGAACCAAGTTTGATAACTCAAAAGATCTAGCTTAAAAGATCACTTTTCGTATGATCGCATCTTAAACATATATATATATATTGGTATTTTTCTAATAGCAATGTATTGTAGATGCACGTATATTCTTGTATAATAGCTGAAACCTCACAACCGTCGGTATTCTGTAACCGTCGGTTCTGATATTCCATGCGGTACGCTAAGAGCCAATAGATTTTGAGAAATCATTGGTACAAAACACGTCAAGCAGTTATCGTTAATGATGATTTGCCCCTATAGAGAATGCCTCTATGATTCGTCAGTAATAAATAATAGGGTAATAGGCCGTCGAAAGGCTATGTCATCAATGTATGCACATGGAGAAAACAAAGAAGGATCTTATTATCTCTCTTCGTTAAAAGGTAACGTATACACTAATTTTCGTTAATTAGTTAAGCTTCAATGGAAAATGATTTTATATGTTCTAGTCAATACGCTCTTTTAAACAGTCTTGAAATACTAAACCAGAATCTAAGGTGTTACGTCTCTTCTCGTTTCGAGTGTACATACATCTATGCTAAAACTTTTCGCCGATAGGCGCTAGTGCTGGAAATTTCTACTAATCCACAGGGACGTTTTGTGAGACATACAAAAAAAAATACTTTTCGAGCAAACAGAGACTCGAGAAAGGCTAATTTAACTTACGTTTTCTCATTTGGATCTTTCGATTTGGCTCTGGTAGGCTAATTATTATGCGTTTTTGAATATGAGATTAAAAAATAATAAGTGAATGATAAGTAACTGTTTACAAATTGCTAAGATAAGCTTGTTCCATTTAGATGCTTAGAAACACTACGTAACAAGTTTGTTTTGTTGGCAATTTTCGTGACTCAACGGTATTTGTTGTACAACGGTTAGCGTACTTCATTCAGGAAGTATCTGCACTATAATAGATACGGTGCTAAACTTAGCGCACTCACAAGTTAATCATGGTATAGTGTCCAACTTTATGCGTACATGGACATGTTATATCATGAACTCATTATCAGGCTACACCTTTTAAATGAAGTGCGAGAAGGCCGAGCGGGTAGAGAGGACAAAATCGGAGTATCGATTTATTCACTATCTGCTCGTAGCGCGAAGTTCCCTCGTCACTGCTCCGATTCTCTGAATTAAACCTCTGAAGCATTTTCGTTCTCGGAAAGTAGCGACCTTGTTAATACACGGCTGAACAAGATGAAAGGATGGATCCCCGTAATTTAGATGGGGAGACTTTTGAGGAGGCTCTTGCTTTCTGAATGTAGTTAATAAGTTTCACTGGTGTTGTTTTTGCAATGTTCGCTCGCAGCAGAGCGAAAAAGTTTTTTTGACGCGGCGGCTAAGTCGTTTGTTTGTAATATTTACAGTTTTTACCTGAAGTTAGAAGTTCCCATGTACCTATTTCGTTTTTCTAATTACTGTTAAAAAGTTATGCCTTAAAAATAGGAAAAAATAAGAATGCCTTTCCTAATGTACGGTGTTGATGGCCGAAAATGGTTAACAGTTGTCTTTTTGGATGCGAAGTCAAGTCTGCTGAGTTTCTCAGCTGTTATGCTCTGACTGAAGAAAATGTAAGTTCTTTTTTCGTGTACTTCCGTGATTTTTTGCAAAAAACGACTTTGTTATACACGTAAGCATGAAGAGTTTTCGCAATTGTTTGATCATTTTGCGGTATATTTCCCTAATACATTCGCAGAAACTCTACGCCGGTCTCGAATTTTTGCGTCGGTTAAATCAATGCTACCTTCGTAACTATTGTTTACACTCCCGGTTGATTTTCACGCACTTACCTATGTATAGCAGTGAGGATGCGAAGAGCAATAAGTTTGTCATCTTGTCTTTCTTGGAGTTCAGGCAGCAGTTGTTCTTAGAACAGAGAACAAAAGACGACGATACGAAGCGAATCCCTCCACAACACCTATAGCATTTAACTTATACAACGTTCATACGTTTCTCACACAACTTCCCTTCTGGCTTCACTTACACATGCACAAACTAGGTACAACACTACAATAACTAACAGAAATTTCTCATCAACCTTACGCCACCTTTGCACAACACGCTCGTTCCTCGCCTTCAAGGGCAGATTTTAGTAGGTTTGCTTTCGGTGCCAACATCCGCGGTCCAGTGTCGAACCAATTGGAGCGCTGCATTTCACCGCAGCGCCAGTAAAGGTAGCACAGCTCGGTGAGAAGCTGGTCTGCCTATTTTAGACGCCATTATTCATTTTCAGGAATGCCTTCAGGTCGTCCATCTTTGTCTCGAATGTTATTCCGCTTGATAATTAAGTGACATATTGTATAGGAGCATCGTTTTATTGAGTTGACTTGTTTATGCATCAAATCGTCAATCTACGTGGCATCATTATACGTTGTTGTTGTTGTTATCGGGATCTATTTAGATAGTCATTGGACTGTTCTGTTTGCAGTATACAACGGACAAAGACGATATCCAAGGAACGCAAGATATGAAGCTAGTGATCGCCGACTGTTATCACCACTGGCGTCATTAATTTTAGTTTTTCGAACTTCCAATACCTTTTCGGCAGTTACGTCCACGGTCGCGTCGTTGTCACTAGTGCGTTTGCAATGCTGAAGATGAATTTTAGCACCAGCTGTGAGATATTTGAGCAACCTATTCGTCGGGCCTCGTTTCAGGGTAGCTGCTGCATTGATTTTCTGCGTTTTTGCGGTCTGTGCAGGCAGCACCTTGCTCTTACGGTGACCAATGTTGTGAGTATCACAGGAGAACGCCGTCGCCGCACCGTATCGTGCTCCTGCTGACGTCGCTATTAACGGATGCAGATTGTGGCGACCGCGTACTCTGTTTGTTCCAGGGCAGCTCACAATCGCAACACAGCTGAAGTCGACAAACAGCATTCTCTTCGGACATGTGACACCGATCGTGGCGGTCTATAAACATTCATGTGTTATTATTAATATTGTTTATATATCAATGAAGTGCTTCGAAGGCTAATTTTTGCGTCTGCCGAGATCTATTTATAGCAGTAATGATTAGCCTATTATATTGTTGTTAGTAGTACTTAATGGCTATCAACGGGTGATCGGTGCTCCTTTTTTTTTTTGTTCGTGTTGAGATTTTCGCGGCTAACGGCCGGCGCTGCTCTATTTATTCACATGAGGTTTGTGCGCCTCTGCCTTGAAAAGCCACGGCGGCACCGTAGGATCCGCTAACATTATTATTATTTGGTACGCTAATTGCTTTCCTTTGATAATCACGGTATACAGTATACGGAAATGCAGCACAAGCCGATATGTGCCTGCTTATTTAGGCTGCATTAAGATATAAGCTAGCCTCACTTGCTTCTAACGAGGGCTGGAGTGTACACGTACGGTAAAGGATTGCCGGTTTATATTCTTAATACATCTTTCCCATTAGATAACACCTGCACGCACACACAAACGGGCAAAACCTGGCTGAACACTTGGATATATCTTGCACCACACAAACACGGTACAGCTGATTGGCACACATAGCTATTATCATTATATTATGTTGACGCTATATATTTTTATTTTAACTATATATATATTATAAGCGCGAAAATTATAGGCTGTATCAGGCCAAACTGCTGACAATTGTTTACCTTTCTACGGAACACCAGTAGTCGATGTACATATTGAAGTCATGTTTAAATGACACGCGAAAAACGACGGCGTGTACGATTGGGTCCCTCTCACACGTTTCTCTTTTCTTCTTGTGGCATCCTGGCGAAACAATCACCACCCTCCGGTTCTGCGAGGCATCGACACCACCAGGGGTGCCAGGGTTCACAATTCTACGCAACGCAGTCCCATGTCAAGGTGTTCGTCGCACTGAAGATCCTCGCGCTGATGCAAGCTGAATCCTGCACGTTGTTCTGAAGGGAAAGGGACCTCGACCTGGGAGAGGGGCCAATGAGATGCGCGCGCGCTATGGGGGGAGGTGGCGGCGCCTGGCGGATGGTTCGCAAAACTTTAGTGGCATTGGAGCTGGGTTCGCCAGGGCACTGAGCAGTGCTATGTTAGTGATAGTATACTGGCTAGTCCTCAGCAGGCGTTCTCTATACAGAGTTTCCACAAAGACATAGATCGGGGGCATGCACTAGTCGATCTGAGGGAGCAGCCGAATCGGTTCGGTTTTCGGAAAAGCGGGACGCACCCCTTGGGTAAGCAACAAGAGCAAGAGTATCTGGAAGCCTGACAATGCACTAGCCGCGGCAATGAATGGGAGTGAAGCTCGGAGCTCGTGAACGCTAGCACCTTCGTCATCAGTAGAGCATCATGGAAGAGAGCTGCTCGAGATGACCGGATGCAAGTGCATAAGAGCTGGACAGTGAGGTTGGAGTTGAACCATTGAATGGTAGGTCGACCTGCTGGCAAAATAGGTAGAGAGTCATAAAGCCAGACTTACGCGGTAGACCGAGGTCTAGAGAACTACAAAACTATTATCCTTGAAGCCGCACTAAACAACGCTTATAAGACAGTAAGCGCTGTTCTATTGAATACTGCAGAATCTGCGGGATACGCGCAATTGTAGCGTAGAAGTGGGACAACTGACGTCGAAAAAAATAGCGAATCCATAAAGAATACTGGATGTATAATTTAGACCCACATAATGACACTGAGTAATATACTATTAGTAGGCGGTTTGGACAAAACGAATGATATGACTGACGGAGACCGATAACCACGGTAAGCTTACGAGGTTCGTTAATTCGAAAGACATATGACTGCTGCCGTAAATGTAACTTACACTGAATGAAACGGAGCGTCGTGGATGCTTTTTCTGTGCACATAGGAACATAATTAATCGAGATAGTTAACTTTAAATACAAGAAATTAATCAAGAGGTATACTTTGAAGGTACATGTGTAATACATTTCCTTGAAACACATACTGACTTTCTTAAGTTCGAAATTGAACCTGAGTAAATCTTAACCCAGTTTGGCCAGAGATTTAACTGCTCGTTGTGATAAAATTACTTTCACCAAAAGGGTCAATATTATACTTTGATAATTGAAAAATTCTGGGGAACTCTTATCCGTCATTTACACATACTGTGATTAGCCACTTTTCCTCATCTAAAAGTTGCAGTTGCCGTCATTGATTTTTTATGACATGCAATAGGTAAGTGGACAAACTATCTACTAGTTTAAGCCCGCGTACATTAAGCATGTTGACAAAGACTCCTATTATTCGCTGAATCACGAAAATCTACGCAGACACAGCATAGATCACCTATGCGAAATGTGGCATGAGAAAACTGTATATAAACGGAACGAGAACTGTTTTTCATGGCATATACTATAGAATACAGGGTTGCCGTTGAAAAAGCTTATACCATTGCTTGAAATAAGCAAACGGTTGGTTCGAAGGGCTTTAATAAACAGAATTTGCTGTAAATTAACAACCAGAAGTAAGTACCACAGAACTTCTTCAGTTATGAACAATCTCCCTTCTGGTATATTAGTAAAATGTTATATTTTCAATTCTAGATTGATTCTGACGGCCAAGCTGTACACATACGTATACCTATCGCGTAAGCTAATTTGTAGTGTACTTAGAAAAATCCTTTGGATAACAACCAATAGAGGTTTTCTGGGCGACTTCTCAAGCCATTCCGATCTCCTCCGCAAGATGGCTGATCGAGCCAGTATTTGCGTTATTTTTTTCTAAAATCACAGTCGTTCCATGATTCCACCTTCCGCTGTTTCACAGATAATTTGTTGTGGTTCTTCGTGAAAGGGGTCGCCTTTCTTATCTCTTCCCAAACCCCCCTCTCCTCGAATCAACCGAAATTTCGAAGGTAGTTGAGCTTTCTGATATACTTTGCTATTTAGTATGCCATAAAGCCGATTAGACCCAGTAGCCGGTACCATCAAGCTGTCCCATAAGCATGATTATGTCCTTCATTGAATATTGCGTTCGTTATTCCGTAGGTATCCTAGGTGGCTGCGTTTCGATTTAACGTTGGTTATGCTTACCATCTTGGGTTGTAGCTAATGTGAGGACACACCTTGCATCGATATCAGCTTGGCAGACGCTTGCGGGAAAAGGGCGCAGGGGTAGTGCGCCAAATCGGATTTCGAACAAGCGTTCTCTGTTTAGGTTAGGCCTGCTGGTATCGGTAATTTCCCTCAATCTTTTTATTTTCTTCAGCTTTGTTTCATCTTTCCGTTGCTCACGCGATTCCCGCTAATACATTTGTACGCTTTCCAATTTAGCTGTATATATATATATATATATATATATATACGTACATTTAGCTCTCTCCCGTTTTCTCTGCCTCTTTTTACATTATTTTATTAATAACAAAATTTACCTTCAGCATTTCTCGTTTTTCCAAATAGACGCAGCTGCCATGTTTGATACAGCAATAGCTGACAATTCAGGGGGTCCCGGAGGGTAATGATTTGGACTAAAGTGGCCTCGAAGCCCTCTTATTCTTCAACCTGCGATTGCAGCCTTGTTGGTTCTCGAGCTGCTGCGCCTGCGCTCATCGTGGATTATTCTTTGAAAGCAGCTATTGATAGTAGCTTAGTTGGTTTAGTATAGTTTGCGTCCAGTTAGTAGCTCTGACATACTATTATTGCGGTCCTTAAGCTTTCTTAGCACCACCAACTACCAAATGTGAAAGAGTAATAGAATTTTCGCGAGTGTGGTGAGAATAAATGAAAAATCGTTGTGTGGTAGACACCGACAAACTGCTTGCTCAGAGAACTGCAGCCGGATTAGGTATATTAAGGAGCAAACGGAAGTCTCCTCTTTTTCTGCCGAAATCCGTAGGTGGTCAAATTTCGTAGAATAGATTCTGATAGATCCATAGAATTAGAAAAAAAATGGTAATTAAAGAGCTACCGAGGAAGAGACCTAGAGGCAGAGAGAAAACCAATGATGACCAATTAGTGTCAACAGAATACAACGATCGGAGGAGGATCCATGGAACTTGCTGGATAAGGGGGGCATTTCAGATGCTTATGAGGGCACTTGGTGAGGGCTGCGTCAGTCATTAGTGTGGTGGCGCAGAAGGCCACCGAAAACGGCCGACCAAGTTGGCTAATAGGCAGGGGTTCCCCACGAGTGCGCGGCAAAAAAGATATGATATATAGAAGAAAGAAAAGCAAACAGCTTGTGCATTGCACTCTAATCGGGTGGATCCAACTTGTAACTATTAAAGGAAGGAAGCTTAGTAGCTAGAATGCTTGTCTAGCGCCTGAGGAGAAACACAGTGGTCTCTGGGTACGGCAACCGGCTATGGTGGTGCTATTAGCGGCTGGCTGGTGTGCTGCGGGCGGACGATGTGGCGACGTGGGCGAAACAGAGTCCTAATAGTTCACATTATCAGATCATTTCTGACACTCTCTGTTTTCTCATTTTACGTTTCTCTTAATGATATTGCTTCTGTTGAGCTGGTGCGCATAGCTAAGGAAGAAAAGCATGCTAATGCCCCAGCCACATCAAGCTAGTGGACTCAGAGCTAGAACTAGCCTTTGGTTTTCTTTAGTGCTTCGCGGTCCCGGTCTTTTCCCACATACATTTCACAACAGAAAAGGCAACAAGCGGTTTAGACGAGGGCACGAAGCAAAGCGGAAATTCGTCGCTGACTGGGTGTTTGTGGGAAAACGGAGGCGGGAGATTGTTAAATATGGGGCATTTTAAAAAACTGCTCATCATCATCATCAGGGGCTTTCTAGGGGCAGAAAAACTACCGTCCCTTGCGTCTCGTCTTCTGTGCTGGTAGTCTGCTTTCCTTCTTTGCTTCCACATTTTTGTTCCTAAAATCACCTCGTACTCTTCATCCCCACAGCCAAATTCTCCTCACTTCCAACGACGTCTATGACTAAGCACGAGACTGTATTTCCTCACCAGCACAGAATAACAAAGCAGCGGATAAACCTGGGGATATAATAGAGGGGTTAGAAGAAACCATCAGAGGAAAAATATAGTTGCAGCAATAACGTAAACGCTAGAATATTTGAGCATTGTCGCTTCACACCAAATAAATGGACAACAAGGAATAGATAGATAAGGGAAAATCGTTCTCAACGCTTTGCTCAGTGCCTACGCATCACGCCGGCGTGTGAGATCGCCGATTGGGCTTCAATCATTGGTTGAAGGTAACTGCTTCGGCTGATCGTTTTGGCGATCCCTTCTAGCTTGCCAGCTTGCTTTCTGTCCATTTTGGATTGGATCATGCGTTCATTCCATGGAACAACCTGCTTCGCTTTTCTGATCACTGAAATGCTCTCGAATCAAGGACCAACCGGGCGAGAGGAAGAGAGAGAAAAGAAAAATAGAACGAGCAAGACACGTCCGGTTCAGCGAACTGCAAAACGCCGGTCGAGATAATGAGTGAAGTCAGTTTGAAGTTGGTAGTAGCAACTGTTGCGAACTGCTGCACGAGTCGTGCCTTGTGCTCTCTGCGTTGGCCATGACGCATATATTCAGCTGGCTTGGAGAACATCGCTTTGCCACAAGCCGACTGCGTCGCACGGGCTGAGAAATCACTTGAAGGAAGATGGGCGAAGGAAGGAGCCAAGAACGAATCGAGGAACTGTTAGGGTCGGATGCGAACGCGATTATCGAGGCGATATTGAATATTTAGCAAAATCAGCAGCAGTAATAGCCATATCGTCTGTAGTTGCACCAGTTATAATAGCAACATCAGCATTTGGAGGAAGCAGAGAATCTTCTACCGGAGTCGAGAGAGCGGATATCAGAGGCAAGCTGGAGATCCGTAACACTCACTGGGTTCCCTGCGAGCCCCAATGTCCCATGTCTTCAAAAT